GACTTTACTTGAAAATATTTACAAAATCTTTTATATAACCAATTTTTTTCAATATAGAATACATAATTTTGATAAAGTACATATTTATCTTTCACTTTCATTCAGTTTCAATTATGATTCAGGTTATTTCGCTAGATATTGTACTTTTTCTAAAAATCGTAACAACCAGCCCCGGTCTCCCCTACTCTTAACAGATCAAGAAATAGCCAATTTGTTCAGCAAATACTACAAAACTGTTTTTATAATGCCCAATTCAACAAACTTCTCACAAGAACATTATCACAAAGTTAACACTGATATTGATGAAAATATTCACATTTTTAAACCCAATTTCCCTGTAAGTCTAAACCTTAACAAGACACCTACAGATGTGAGTATAAGCATACTTATATATCTCGATGAAATTAAGGTTACTATTTAAAAACATAAAAACTCATCCCCAGGTGAAGATGGCATAAGAAATTTAATCTTAAAAATGCGCCATAGCAAATTCTCAAGCACCTTTGTGCCTTGTTTGATCTGTCCTTGAGGGCAGGTTACCTCCTGTTTCTTGGAAATCAGCTATCATTAGTATAATTCCCCCAAAAGATCCTAGTAATCCATCTAACTACAGGCCAATAAGTCTGGTAAACTGTATAGGAAAGTTATTGGAAAAAATAATCACATCCAGGTTATTGTTTTATTTTATGGGAAATCAGTTACTATTTCACATGCAAAATGAATCGAGGAAAAAGCATCAAACTACTGACCACCTTGTCAGATTAACCAAGGCTGTTTACTGCAGTTTTAACAAAAGTTATGCAACCATAGCCTCTTTTCTTGATGTTAATAAAGCATTTGATAGTGTTTGGCACAATGGCCTCAGATATAAACTTTTCCAGTATAATATAACAATTCCTATCATAAGATGGATCTCAAGCTTCCTAACTGAAAGAACAGCAAAAGTCAGAATAAACAACGTGTCCATAGTATTAACTTGCAGGCAGGTGTTCCCCAAGACTCAGTTTTAAGTCCCCTACTGTATATTTTGTTTTTTAATGACATAAACTTACCCCAAATTCACTGAAACCTACGCATCACAGTATGCTGATGACATAGCCTTTTGGTCCATATCTCACGACCCATGTGTAGCAGCCAAGAAAGTCCAGCTTTTATTTGATCATGTAACCAAGTGGTGTAATACCTGGAACATTTTACTAAATCCTTTAAAAACACAAGTCATAGTATTCATCAAAATGCTCAAAAGAAACAGGAAAAAAATTAACCAAGTTAAACTCACACTCTATAATACTGAAATCAAGTTTAAATTAAATTCTTAGGTATAATTTTCACCAACAGACTCACATGAAATGCACACTTTAAGCAAATCATTAAGAAAATAAATCAAAGAGTAAACTATCTAAAGAAAATTGGTGGCTGTGTGAAAGGTAGCAATGCCCAAACTATATAATTAATTTACAAAATGTACATCAGACAAGTCACTGAATATGGTAGCACCATTACATGTAACATGTCATACAACTTATATAAATCATTAAAACAGCACAACTAAAAGCAGACAGAATTGTATACCCCATTCCAGTCTACATATCCAACATGATATCAGCATGCTAAAGACACCTAAAGAAAGATTCTTAGATACAGCCACAGCCTTTTACAAGAAAACCAAACATCATAATTCCATATTTAGTAATAATAATAATAAATTAGCCAAGATACCCAAATCGTGGAACAAATATGTATCACCCTTTCCTGATCTTTGTAGATTATTCTTTGGGTACTTTGAATTGGGCTGTCCAGTTCTTGGCTAATACACCCATAACAGTCTTTGCTATCATATTGACCAATGAGATAGTCAATGGTAATGAGTACGTAGTGAAGACCTCTCACAATCTCTGGGATTGGACTAGTGATATCTGGGGCTATCCTTTGTAGAGCTAACACTGGTTCATCAGATTTTTCTTCCAGGCAGCACATACTGTTCATAATTTATACCATTACTGAACATCTTGACTCATTCATGGCCTAAATAACTGCTGTTGACTATTATTACAAGTGTAGGTTTCAACTAGGTACCCCTCAGTCTTTGGGCTGCACAGACTCTGGAGTATTTCTTGCTGCAGAGTACTGGGGACCACTAGCTACAGAATTGTTGGAATACCATGCCTCATTGGTTGATAGTAACAGCACAGCACATGTTCATACATTTTAACTACTTCTACAGGTGCCACAGGATATGTGCTTCCATGCTATGTTCATTTATTAGTATTAGTCAGGTCTGATATTGGTGGACAGCAAGGAATAACCATGCTAGGCCAAGGTTACTTCAATTGCTCATCCCAGAGCTACTGAAGTGCTAACTTTGGCATACATCTGCCAGTGGATTATTCTTCTTTATAGTTTGCATTTGCTATAAATAAAATTGTCAGGGTTTCAACTCATATGTGGTGTATAGAGTCAGTACATTCCACAAAGAGACACAGTCTCATTGTGTGGTGAGGTAGTTTGTGTTTTTGTGCTACAGATCCACGTAATGAACTCAGTGGTGGGATTCAGCCGGTTCGCACCAGTTCGTGCAAACCTGTTCTTAGAATTTAATGACCTCCACGAACC